AGGGCGGCTAAAATCCTTGCACCGGCCCTGGCTGGAGGGGGCTGTGTGAGCTGTGGCCGCACAGTGTCCCATGGTAGTTAGGGTGCCGTGCGGCCAGTACAGCTCACACAAGCAAACAGCTGATAAACTGGCTGCACGGAGGAAATGTGTATGTGTGACTGTCTGCCCTGTGACTGTCTGCCTGTGACTGTATGTGACTGTCTGCCTGTAACTGAGTGTGTGACTGTCTGTCTGTAACTGAGTGTGTGACTGTCTGCCTGTAAATGTGTGTGTGGGGCTGCCGGGATTTTGTAGAAGGGGGTTGCGGGGGTTTTGTAGACGGGCAGTACAGGATTTATAGAAGGGGCAGGACAGAGGTTTTGTAGGAGGGGCGGGGCAGGACAAGGGTTTTGTAGGAGGGGCTGACAGCGGGGGGGGGTGCCAAGCACAGGATCCGCCTCGGGTGCCAAATGCTTTAGGTACGCCCCTGGGGGCCACACAAAGAGAACACTGCATTCTTGTGGTTTGTTTCAACTTAACGAGCCAAGAGGGTGGTCGGTGTTGGGTGATTAGTTCAGCACACAAAATAAGAAGGGAAATAGTAACAAATGCTCAAACAGAATATAAAGAGGGCATTGGTACACACAAAATAGGGGGATTTTGTCACAGTTTGTATTTAGACTCGTAGCCCAAGTTCATCCCACACTGCAAATAGTCTGAATTTGGGACACTCAGGTGATTTTGTAAGTTCAAATCGCTATATTACAAAGTTTGGTTAAGCATTCAAAGCACCATTCCTGGTGCCAGAAAAAAAGTGAAAGAATGGAGAAGAAGCTGTTCTATCTTTTTTTTTTCTTTGTGTGGACAAATAACCAGATTAGTTTGACATGATAGAGAAGTGGCTTGTTTCATTAATTCTAATGTGAGACTGTTGGTTATGGTTAGTGCTGTGCCCACTGCTAGTAGCAAGCAAATGCCACTAAACACCACTTTGTTTAAGTGTTTGTAAAAAGAAAATTATTTTGTTAAAAAGTGTGCAATTGTGCAAGTGTAGTATTTATTAAAGTCAAGCACAGTAATGTTACAGAAATATATCCAACAAGCACCAACCCATTTTGCAATGCTAAATACAGCGAGAAAAAAAGTATTTGATCCCGTGCTGATTTTGAACGTTTGCTCACTCACAAAGAAATTATCAGTCTATAATTTTAATGGTAGGTGTATTTTAACAGTGAGAGACATAATAACAAAAAAAAAGAAATCCAGAAAAACGCATGTCAAAAAAGTTATAAATTGATTTGCATGTCAATGAGTGAAATAAGTATTTGACCCCTTCAGCTTAGTACTTGGTGGCAAAAGCCTTGTTGGTAATCACAGAGGTCAGATGTTTTTTGAATTTGGCCACCAGGTTTGCACACATCTCAGGAGGGATTTTGTCCCACTCCTCTTTGCAGATCCTCTCCAAGTCATTACGGTCCCTCCCTCAGCTCCCTCCACAGATTTTCTATGGGATTAAGGTCTGGAGACTCGCTAGGCCACTCCAGGATCTTAATATGCTTCTTCTTGAGCCACACCTTTGTTGCCTTGGCTGTGTGTTTTGGGTCATTGTCATGCTGGAATACCCATGCACGACCCATTTTCAATGCCGTGGCTGAGAGAAGAAGGTTCTCACCCAAGATTTGACAGTACATGGCCCTGTCCATCGTCCTTTGATGCGGTGCCATTGTCCTGTCCCCTTAGCAGAAAAACACCCCCAAAGCATAATGTTTCAACTTCCATGTTTGACGGTGGTCCCAGCTGCCTTGAGATCATTAACAAGGACCTTCCCGTTTAGTTCTGGGCTGATTCCTCACTGCTCTCATTGTCATTGAAACTCCATGAGGGGAGATCTTGCATGGGGCACCAGACCGAGGGAGACTGGCCGTTATTTTGTGTTTCTTCCATTTGCGAATAATTGCACCAACTGTTGTCACCTTGTCACCAAGCTGCTTGGCGATAGTCTTGTAGCCCATTCTAGCCTTGTGTAGGTCTACAATCTTGTCCCTGACATCCTTGGACAGCTCTTTTGATCTTGGTCATGGTGGAGAGCTTGCAATCTGATTAGTTGCTTCTGCGGACAGGTGTCTTTTATACAGGTAACAAGCTGTGATTAGGAGCACTCCATGCTACAACCACTTCTACTGGCACTGGAACTCCATCTACCAAGGCTAGTTCAAATGTTATACATTCTTGATGCCTTAAATGAAGCAACTCTTGGAGATTTCTGCAGAGTCTACATTGTGAGGTCATCAGAGCCACACTTTAGTGAAAACAAGCACAGACTACCAAAGTAGTGTTCCCAATATCTGTTTGATGAGAGTCTGGAAAAAACATAAAGCAGCCCAGTTTTTTTTTTTTTTTTTTACCTGCATTGTCTCCATCATTTACAAGTCAATCTGCATCTGCCTTGGAATAGCCTAGTCCAACAGATACACTCATTAAATCAGCTGCTTCTGATACCAGTGGCAGAAACATCTCATTGTCAATGTTACCATCACCACCAACACCAATACTACCACCATCAACATCACCACTGCCATTACCATTTTGATTAGCATTTATCAGCCAAGTGCTGGATTACAGACTAGTGTTGTGACAACTGCCACTGATACAAACCCATCCGCATTTTCAACAGATGCAAGGTAAAGGGTTGAGGGTACCATAATGTACCAATGAAGCAACTTTGAGTGCCTCTAACAAGGCCGACTTGCAAATTACAAATTTGTTTGGCAAAGAAGTGAGTATGGAGAGAGTGGTTGGTCATTTCACTAGTGCCAGTATGAAACAACATCTGAAAATACACCACAAGTCTGTATTACTCAGGGATGCAGCAGAGCAAGAAAGTACTATCGCAGTCAGCAGGTCTACTGGTACTGTATCTGATTCTGTGCAGTTGTCACCACCTACCAACAGCGATACTTCCTCCTCTATTTCTACTACCATGCATAGGCAAAGCAGGGGGATGGTGACGAAAATGCCACTAGTCAACAGAGGCAGGTTGGACAGCAACAGGTGGACCCATCATCATCAGGTGTATTAAAAAAAGAAAAAAAAAATAATTTAAAAAGTTCATCTTCCATAGCTGCTACTACCAGTGCCATTTACACCCACTTTGATTTAGAATTGTTTTATTGATTTTGTGATTTTTTATAGAATTATTTTTTTTCAATTTATTTTTTATATCTAGCAAGATATACATTATTTGAAATGCACTGTGGTTCCACACTACTGCTTGGGCTTTGTAAATTGCAAGACAATTGCATAAACATGAAGAATCAGTTTGCACCAAGTAGCAAACTATTTTTCAACACAAACATAAGGTAGCCACTATAATGACCGGTATTCTAATACTTTCTCCACTACTTAAAGGACCACTATAGTGCCAGGAAAACATACTAGTTTTCCTGGCACTATAGTGCCCCAAGGGTGCCCCCACCCTCAGGGTCCCACTCCTGCCGTGCTCTAGGGTGAGGAAGGGGTTAAACTTACCTCTTTCTCCAGCGCCGGGCAGGGCGCTCTCCTCCTCCTCTCCTCCTCCTCTCCTCCTCCTCTCCTCCTCCTCTCCTCCTCCTCGGCTGAATGTGCATGCGCGGCAAGAGCCGCGCGCGCATTCAGCCAGTTTCATAGGAAAGCATTCACAATGCTTTCCTATGGACGCTGGCATCTTCTCAGTGTGAAGTACGCAAGCGCCTCTAGCGGCTGTCAATGAGACAGCCACTATAGGCTGGATTAACCCTAATATAAACATAGCAGTTTCTCTGAAAAAAGGGTTAACCCTAGCTGGACCTGGCACCCAGACCACTTCATTAAGCTGAAGTGGTCTGGGTGCCTATAGTGGTCCTTTAAGCAAAGCAAGGAAAATATTTGGAATACCAGAGAGTGATAAAGATTGCTATATCTGTTTTAAATACATTTACTTTAGAAACATATGTTTTATCTGTAGTTAGTTAAAACATAAAGGCAGACATTTTAACATTGTTGCTATTTTCAGTAAGCAGTACTGCAAGTAATGTCTTCAGGGTCTTGAGAAGGCTATCTGACACTTTTTATTTATATATGTGTCACCCCTACTGCATGTAAGAAAAGGTTGTATTTTAACCCCTAATGGATGGAAACTGTATGGCAGCACAGGAATGCCATCATGGCATACCATTTGCCAAAGTAGACAATCCAGAGTATTTAAAACGGGATATGTCAATTTTCTTTTTAGTAGCCACTTAGTCACAAACCCTGGCAAAAATTAGCGTTCATATTTGTTTTTTGAATTTTTCACAAAAAAAGCCTTTTACTGATGATATCATTGTCATTTTAAGTTTAACTTCTCTAAAACACTCGTATTTGTTTTCAGCAATGTCTCATTAGTAAAACAGTACTCCCATGTACAGGTTTTATGGGGTTTTGGAAAGTTACAGGGTCACATATAGGGCTTTCCCATATCAGTTTGCCAGATTGGTTTGTTGAGCCTATGCTGCCTTTGAGTCCATATGGCAGCCAACGAATGAGAATTACCCCTATCATGGCATACCATTCACAAACGTAGACAAATTCAGAATTGGGCAAGTCCTGTCTTTTGTAGTAGCCACTTCTGAAAGGGTTAATGTTGTAATGGACTCTAATCCCCTCGGTTCTCGATCCCTCGGTCACCATAATCAACGTTGATGGAGAATCATTTGTAAGCAATAACACACGGACAACAGCTTTACAAGACTCTCAAATGAGTGTATTCCAGAGCTGGCTTTTATACATAGTTTGCTTACATTAGCCATGGTATATGCAAATACAGTACAGACTATAAGATTTATTACTTCCTTATATTACGTTATTCTGACAATGGAAAGATAAGCTTTTGCATACGTCTGGAAAAGAATATCCTGAAATCGGAATGGGCAAGACATCCTGAAATTTTAGCATTGTCTTACATCCTATAGAAGAAATACCTTAGTCTGTCACAGTCAGCATATTGACTTTAAGTATTCAATATCCCTTCAGTCAGCAATAATCATGTTATAAACCTTATAAAAGCATAAAATACATATAAACAAGTTAACTATTTAATATTCTTACATTCCCCTCTTTGAGCAATAAAACAATTGCTCATCTTATTGATAAAATCTTACCAGGACAGAGAAACCTCCACATGGTATTTTCAGGGGTGCTAGTCACTCCCTGCGGGACTTTCATTAATTTCTTCACCTCGATTCCCATGTGGTAATTCCTAAGGCCCAGTTTAAAGATGGGTTGATACTCTACAGTGGCAGAGAGGAGAATTTCTAATTGTTTCTGTTCTGCATTATGGATTCATTTCTGTACTCACTTCCTCAATGTACAACTAAGGTGACAGTTATATAAAATCATACACAATAAAATCAGGACTATAATAACAAAAGGATAGAAGAATGATTTCATTATCTGGGATCCAGTAGGGGACCAACCAGTGAAGCATCGTACCAATGATGGGCTAAATCATTCTGAATTTGTGAACTCACCTTAAGGAGTTCTCCTTTTAGGATATGCGTGGCTACCTGTGTATGTTATCTTTGGGAAAAATATAGTCCCCTGTGTATGTGGGTGCCCACCAGGTTAAAGTCTTGGCAAAAAGATCATAAACTGGTACTGGTAATGTGTTAAATTGACAAGCTAATTTAACATCCTTTGATGATGTATGATATAATGTAAAATAGCAAGAGCATGAAAAATGTGAAACATTACCAGTTAACCATCCATTGCATTTACTGGATTGGGGTTTTAGAAGTAACCAATCATTATCTGTGAGGTTACACATTCCTCTAATCTTCTCTAGTTTAGGAATCATTAGTGTGTTTTCTAATGCCAATCCTTGTTGTTGTATCCATAAATACCTGATGGCACAAGTACTCCAGTTACTTAGACCTGTAGTGAATTTCATAGTTGCAACAGTTAAATTATCTAAATAATTATACATTGATTTATCTAAATCCAATCCTGTAACCTGTGATTTAACAACAATTGGAGCCCAATTTGCAGTAGCATGAAAACCAGTCCCTATATGCATGCTGGCTGTGTTTAACTTATTCTTGAGGGTCTCCATATCTATAACTATTTAGTATACTCATAGTGGTTCCAGCACCTCCTAACAGTGTGTCATACCATTCCCTTTTCTGCCTTTTGTTTGCTGTGTTACATAATGTTACAACAGGAGTAGTGATTTTTAATGACACATGTACAGCTTGTAAGAAGGCAGTTGTATTAACACATGTGGATGGAATAGGTGTGTGTGTGTCGTGGTTGACTTTTGGTTCTATGGTAGAGGATAAAGGACAGTAATAAGGTGTAAAAATATAAGGTAGTGTATAGTTCTCAATTGTAGTGTCGTTCATAATGACTAACATTTGTCCCCTTTTCCAATTAATGATACCAGTTATATAATCATTATTAAAAGTAATAAGGCCTGTCTGTTTACATTGATATGCAACCTTAACTGTGCACATTTCTGCGTTATAAGATCTAACAATTTTCTGTGAACCTTCAAACAAACATAATGCATCGGTTTCATTAGCTGTAGACACATTTCATATGGGTAACTGGTACTTATAAGGGTTACTATTTGTCCAATTCATCCAAATGCGTTCATTGAATGAATGATTGCATATTGCATGCTGATAGAAAGGTGGTGGAGAAAGGTTCTTGAGGGGGCGTGTGTGACGAATGCTAGATGAGGAGCTAAGGCCTAATTGGGCTGGGGGTATTGAAGAATTGTTCATCATGTCAGAGTCTTTTTCCAGAACTTGCCATTGACTTGTACTCATAATGGCATTCAAGAAACAATATCAGAGGGAGTATAACAACTCCAGAAAGCATAGCACACAACATAATCTTGGTCTCAGGTACGTATGATCCTCTCAATCTACGGAGAAATTCTTCTGTTTCCGAGCGAGGAGTGGTGTTGTCTTCCTTGGTTCCCCTCTTTGGACACAGCTTCACTTGGGATGCGTGAATCCAGATGTCATGTGAATCTGTGAGGACAGCGGTTCTGGTTACAGCAATCACAGTAGCAGGTGGTCCAAAAGGGTATCCTCCTTTCTTGGTCCTGTTCAGCTGACGGATATACACCTTGTCACCGGGCTGGTATGAATGAGTAGGTTCCTGTGAAGGTAAGGGAAAACTGCGAAGAAACATTGTCATACATACCATTCGATTTTATCAACAATTCCTGTACATATTGTTCTTGTATAAGCTGTAAATCCCCAGACATTATAACAAGCGGTTCCCTGGCCCAGGGTGTGGGAAAAGGTCATCCCATCAAAAATCTCAGATGGAGATAATTTAGTCACCTTGTGAGGAATCACTCTTATCTCAGCTAAAATAGCTGGTAGATATCTAGTCCAATTTTCCCATGTTCCTGGGTAAATTCTGGGCTTTTCCTTAATAGTCCTATTCATCCTTTCAACTACCCCTGTATTCTGTGGATGATAGGGTATATGAAACTGCCAGGTAACTTGCAAGAATTTAGCAAGTTCCTGGGCAACCTTACTGGCAAAAACCGGGCCATTATCAGAGCCAATCTGCAGAGGGCAGCCATACCTGGGAATAATTTCAGTAACAATAAACTTCACTAGAATCTTCCCTAGATATCACAAAGGCCTCATGCCATCTACTAAACTGATTAACTATGACCAGTAAGTATTGCTGTTTCTTACCAATTTTGGATACATGAATAAAATCAATCTGTAAGTGTGTAAAAAGAGCAGTGTTCACACGATCTTACAAAAGACTGTACATGCTGCCTGAGATTCCTAATATAAAATGAATTCATGAGGAATTGAATGGTGCTTGCTATGTGCCTGACTGATGAAAATAAATCAGCTTGCTTCAAGTATGCCTATTCTTCAAGTATGCCTATTCTCCCCTCTTTAGAGAACAGATCATTTTGATCTTTCTCTAAACCTTATTTAATCCAAAAGACAGATTCTGGGTATTAAAAAAAAAAGAATCTCATAACCACTGAAGCGCTGGGCTGTCATGTGTTGTGTGGTGAGATTTGTCATCAGCTGAGTGACCTGGTGACTGGCATGAAGTATTGTAGGATGCCCTAGTGTGATAGTAGTAGCAGTTTCAACAGCCATTGCACATGCTATCAATGCTCTGAGACACGCCGGCATACCCTGTACCGGAGCTCGAACTACTTTGGAAAAGAATGCTATGGGACGCATACCGCCTCCTTGCTCTTGTGCACAGACCGCGGCCATGGTTTTACAATTGTCCCAAGCATACAAATGAAATGGTTTACAATACACAGGTAGTCCTAAAGCCTGGGCTTGCACAATAACAACTGTAAGGGCAATATATGCAGCTAGCATGTCTGGTGACCAGCAGACATTTTCAGGGCTGTCAGAACGTACAGCCTCCCTTAGGATTGAGTCATAATGGGAGCATTCAGGGATCCATTGGTGGCAGTAATTAATCATGCCGAGGAAGGTGAGCAACTCCTTCCGAATAGTGGGTGTAGGAATCCTCTGAATGACCTCAATACATTTTGGACTCAATTGTCTGGTGCCTAAAGCCAGAACAAAACCTAAGTATTCAACCTTTGATTTACACAATTGCATTTTGTGTTTAACAACCTTGTGACCTACAGTTGCTGACAGTATCCACAGTGCTTGCCTCATAGCTAGGGTTACATAACAACAAATCATCAACATTTTGCAAAAAGGACGGAACCATGACCGGTGGTCCATGTTTTTTTAGAGTATGTTAGAGTACCAACGAATAAACAGCTGGGGAATCCACATAGCCTTGGGTAAGCGTGTCCAGGTAAACTGACAGCCTTCAAAAAGTAAAAACCATAAGTAGCTGTGTCTCTTGATCAATAGGTATAGAAAAAATGCATTACTTAAATCAATGACAGTGAAGCAAGTGGCATCATTTGGAATGGCTGTAATGAGGGATGTCACATCAGGGACAATGGGTGAAATGGGCACAATTAAACTATTTAGGGCTCTAAAATCCTGAACTAAGCGATATGCTGGCCAGTGGTGTTGGGAGTGGGTCTGGTGTTGTTCTTGCCTACCGGGCATATTTTGAGAATTGTGGGGTTGTTGGGGTGTGTGGGGTTTCCTGGGGTGTGGACACTCATTCCTCCAGTGGCCATATTGTCCACAGTTGAAACAAGTGTTCCTGTCTATTCCTCCTTGGTTACCCCTATAACCCTGATTTCCCTGTCTCCATCCCCTTGCCCCTCTTTGACCACCCCTTTCCACAGGCTTTATGTGCTCCATCCCATCCACGCTCTCAGCCTGTGTAGCTGGACATAATATGTTGCAATCCCTGAGCATAATAAGCAACCTTACTTTCCTAAATCTTTTCTTAATTCAGAACAACCTGCATTTTCCTTTTCTATAACCTTGGTAAGAAACTCTGAGCTATCCAAATTGGCCCAGTCTGAAATCAATTGTTTCACAAGCAAAGAATACTGTGGCAACATATTACCAAGGCATGACTGTATTTTAAAAAGATCTATATCATCTCCAGACATCAAACCTGCCTCATCCTTCCAACACTTGTAAAATTTCTTTACAAAAATCATATTACCAATCTCTTCCTTTGCATCCTGCTTAAATGCCAAAGCAGTGAATATAGACTGCTTATTCTTCCATAATCCCAACATTTCAGCTTCCACCTTGTTCCAGATTTTAGCACATCTTACTGAAGTACTAAGCTCATAATCACCAATTCATTTCAAACCATATAACTTATACTCAGCATCCCATGTAATATTAGTCATCTCACAAAACAATATCTTTGTAGAAACACATAATGGGTACCCAGCAGATATGCCAATACAGAAATCACATTTATGGGCACACAACTACACACTCTGTCTCCCTCCTAGGAAACATGGATAGACACAATATAAAAGCAATCTTAAACTAACACCTCCAAATCTCCAACTATTCTTGGCCAAAACGCTAGTATTCAACAACTAATAAAACAGTTATTTGCTAGGTTATTTGGCTGTCATTCTTATCAGTATCACTAGACTGTGACAAACTGATTCACATATAATTTAAAACAATACAGCAACATAAATTAAACCACTTTCAAGTTAAACTGCACACTTATCACATTATCACAATCACCATTTACACAAAATAAAGAGTTAACAGCTGTATTCAGAACATATTATTGGAAAGTATACCAATTTTAGTTTAGATTTATTTTAGGGATTCTTATGTGTACATTTTCTTAATTAACTTCATTACTTTAATCTACTATAGTATTATATTTAAAGAAAGGATCCATTTATATAGCGCGCTCATAACTCAACTATTTGTCTAAAACTTCCATTAACTAATCTGAGATGATGCTGCATCAACTTAAATCTTATAGAAATTGAACAAACATCTGGACCAGATTAAACAGACATGGTTTCACCTGAATCTTTCAGAACTCTCAGAGACTTAAAAATTTATACTATACCATGTTTTAAAGGCATGGCAAACCTTTAGACCGGTCAGTCTCCAAGAGCCCTTAGTAACACAGGTAAAAACCTTTGTCCATGATGTCTGATTCAGGCTATATACCACAATTTAAAATAACACATAATGTGAGACATAGAAGACACAAGCAGTAGTTATTACACTGGATCATTTAAAAGGAACCTGTTGCAATAAAAGGTTAGTTTACAGTGCAAAATAAAGCATGTGTTGGACCGCTGAAAATGTAAATGTTGCTCTGTTATTTTCAAACATAAATTATATTTACAGTATGGATCCTTTGCAACAAACACACAGGGCAGGGAAGATGTGCTGATTGGTGTTTCTATACAATTAATCCCATATGGGGAATTAACTTTCAAATACTAATGAAGTGACTTTTTTGTCTCAGTTATAAAATATACTGAGCTCATCATGCAAACAATGTAACACATTTACACTATCCCACTCTCATAATAAGTGTAGTGGGCTTATAGTATTTTTTAAAGCAACAATCATACCAGGCACACAGTTCCCATGTGAAATAACTTACAATAAAACAGAGTAATAAACTTATACTTCTATGCGACAGAAAGAATAAAGCAAAAAGATGTAAGTAGGTCTATCAGGTACAACCTGTGAGTCATTTCTTTTCTAATATACAGTACTGCTATCTTGCAGAAAGATAAGTCCTACGCTCACTCCCATCACTACTGGACAGCAGCAAGGACTACAGTACACATCAGCCCCAATATATGGTAAAAACCAAAGAAAAACAAATTACCTGCGTTCTCTCCTTAATCCCTATGTATTTTTAAAACCTCCATTTGTTTAAAAGTACTGCTATCTTATATATACACATATACATATACACACACATATATATATACATACATATATTGGTCACTCAGGACATGAACTCACATTTCCCATACTGCTGACTCAGAGTGGGGACACTACTAACTTACCAAAGTGTGTCCCCAATATAGACAAACAATCACCCACAAAGAACACTTAAGACAAACAAAGGTGACCGGGAGAAAGAGAAGTTTGGGTTATACTTATAGATCTACAAACCGTGCTGCTCAGAACACCTATAGACTTAATAAACCGGAGACCTCTTATGGTCTCAAAAACCTGTATCTACCTGAGATACCCTGTATCTATTTTAGATACTAACCTGGGTTACCAAAACCCTATAATAAACCGGAGACCTCTTATGGTCTCAAAAACCTGTATCTATCTTAGATACTAACCTGGGTTACCAAGAACCCCTATATATATATAGACCAAATGTCTAATAAACCGGAGACCTCTTATAGTCTCAATATAACTAGAGTCCTTACACCTTTCCTATCTACTGGATACAGTCTTACTGAACCAAAGGGGGGTCATAGACAATCAGCGTCAAATAAGACACAAAAAGGCTACTCACCGCAAATGGTTTTGCTGATCCAACTTCTATCCCACTTCTAGACACCAAGCTGAAAGGGTTAATGTTGTAATGGACTCTAATCCCCTCGGTTCTCGATCCCTCGGTCACCATAATCAACGTTGATGGAGAATCATTTGTAAGCAATAACACACGGACAACAGCTTTACAAGACTCTCAAATGAGTGTATTCCAGAGCTGGCTTTTATACATAGTTTGCTTACATTAGCCATGATATATGCAAATACAGTACAGACTATAAGATTTATTACTTCCTTATATTACGTTATTCTGACAATGGAAAGATAAGCTTTTGCATACGTCTGGAAAAGAATATCCTGAAATCGGAATGGGCAAGACATCCTGAAATTTTAGCATTGTCTTACATCCTATAGAAGAAATACCTTAGTCTGTCACAGTCAGCATATTGACTTTAAGTATTCAATATCCCTTCAGTCAGCAATAATCATGTTATAAACCTTATAAAAGCATAAAATACATATAAACAAGTTAACTATTTAATATTCTTACAACTTCATCACAATTTTTTTTTTGTTTTACATGTTTCACACACAAAACTGCACTTTCACTGATGATATGATCATTACAATTTTAGTGTTTTAAAACACACATATCTGTATTCAGCAAAGTCTCATGAGTATAACAGTACCCCACATGTACAGGTTTTATGCTGTTATGGAAAGTTACAAGGTTAAATATCAGGCCTGTTAATTAAATTCAATTGTCAGGATCCTATCCTGACAAACAAGACTTTTGTTCCTTTTATTTGTGTTTCTTTAGAACAAGTTCCTGCTCTGACTAATTTCTACCACTAGTGACCTCACTTGCCTCTAGTTCTGAATACTCACCTGCTTATCTTTGATTACTTCAGCTAAAAAAGTCTACACCCAACTAACCTCATGGCCTTTACATTGAATTGGTGATTTACCTGAAACACTTCATATCCTGGCTCCTGTGAACATGCTTCAGACTTACCTTCAAACCTGCTCCTAACAATAACCTGTTCCACCCTTAATATACTTCCAACCAGCCTGCCTCTGCAACCAGCCTTCCACTGTTACCAGCCTGCTTTTGATACCAACCTACCTTTGTTACAACCCTACCTGGAAATTACAGACATTCTTTATTATTTGCAAGTAATCTGTTCTGTGGCAAGTATCCTGTTTTGTGGCATATTGCTTAAATTCTGTTTTCCCTCAGGTTTCATAATATGTCTAAAATCACTAATAAAGTACCTGAAGTCAACCCTGGCATTAGTCTCCTATCTGACCTGCACAAGATTATGACATCAATGGACTTTCTGTCTGGGTTGTCAGGCAGGTCCCTTGAATTATAATTAATAAAATTAATTATGTAAATATAGTAGATAAATATACACTTAGAATATATATATATATATATATATATATATAAGATCAGTAGTTGTATGGTGCTGTTCCCTTGTGAGGGTCCTTCATGACCATTATTGTTCTGTCTTGTGCAAGCCAGTCAGGGTGGGAGCTGGTTGCTAGTAGCTGATTCATTTGTGCTGCTATGTGTTCATTAACTTCTTTAACCAGTAGTTGATTATCTCTTCATGTGTGCTGCTCTCTGTTGGATATCTTCAACTGAGATGATGACTGGTTCCTGTTCTGGCAGCATGCAGTGGTCTGCTTTCAGGTCTAGTAGCCACTGGGCCTTGGTGTTATAAGATGTTTCTTGCTCTCAGATATTCTTCCAGTACTGTTCAGTCTCAGCTCTGGGTGGGTCTTGCGAGGAGGTGTGGTGGTTACCCTATAACTATGCATGCACCTTGGATGGTAAAGAGGGCATTGATTCTCCTAGCCTCTGCTTCTCTGGTGTATCTGCCCAATCTGGTTGCCAGTGCTGTCAGTCTTTGTTTAGCTGTTTCCAGCATCTCCAGTATGGGCAAATCCTTGTACTTCCGCAGAAGCCCTACTGGTAGACCAAGCAGTCACAAGGGATTCTAAGACCAGACAGACCAATCTGTGTATGGCCTGGATTGACTACACAATGCCACATACATGGATACTGGAATGCTTAGCTCTCTACAAGGTCAGCAAGACAATAAGAGCCTTCATCAAGAACTCCATGGTCAAGTGGAAAAAAACTCTAGAAGTCAATTCCAGGACAATAACTCAAGGGAACATCATATGTGGCATATACCAATGTGATGCGCTATCCTCAATACTGTTTTGCACAGGCCTCAACCCCCTTAGCCAGATCATCAAGAAGAGTGGATACGGATACAGGTTCAAGAGTAGAGCTACCATCAGCCACATACTCTACATGAACGACATCAAGCTATATGCCAAGAATGAGCAAGACATTGACTCACTGATCCACCTAACTAGGATATACAGCAAGGGCATTGGAATGTCATTCAAACTAGAGAAGTGCGGGTGGATGATAGGAAAAAGAGGGAAGATGATCAGGACAGAATAAATTGAAGTTCCAGAAGGCTAAATAGAAGATGTAGAGAACAGCTACGAGTACCTAGGGGTACCACAAATGTATGGCAACCATGAGGAAGAGGCAAGGAAGATTGCAACACCCAAGTACCTCCAAAGAGTCAGACTGGTCCTGAAGTCCCAGCTCAATGACAAGAACAAGATCCAAGCCATCAAAACATATGCCCTACCGGTCATCAGGTACCCAGCTGGAATAATAACCTTGACAAGAGAAGACCAGGAAACTACTCACTATGAATGGAGGATTCCACCCGAAATCCAGCACCCAGAGACTGTACACTAGTGATGTCGCGAACATGAAATTTTCGGTTCGCGAACGCGAACTTCCGCAAATGTCCGCGAACCGGGCGAACCCGGCGAACCGCCATAGACTTCAATGGGCAGGTGAATGTTAAAACACACAGGGACTCTATCTGGTTGAAGGGGGGGGAGGAGACATACTCTCCTCCCCCCCCGGCCCCCACCCCTGGGCGGCGGGTGGGGGCCATAAAGATAATGACCTACTGTCTACACAGCGGTGGGTGGGGGCCCTAATAACAATAAGGGGGGTCCTATTGCCCCCCCCGGCCCCCACCCCTGAGCGGTGGGTGGGGGCCCTAATAATAATAAGGGGGGGACCTATTGTCCCCCCCGGCCCCCACCCCTAAGCGGT